GACTAACTGCTTTAAAGGGGCACATATTTTTTAAACCATGCTTTTCTAATATTCTCTGTGAAGCTGATGCTACTCACGACAGTAATTTTAGTATTGAAAAAAATGCCTGAACTTGTATGGGTGGCTGCTGTGATCTTGCCTAATAAATGAGATCTCTGGCCGGTTTTTGTCTTCTTGCAATGGAGAAGCGTTATCTAGAATAACTTGAGAGCTGACGGGTCTTGTTCACATTTGTAGCACCTCAGCAGGTGGAGTCATTTTGATTGTCAGAATCAACAGTTAGTGCTGTATAAAATACAGTTGTTACAACTATGTCATTAGATTGCAATACAAAGATGGTTAGTTGAGAAAAGCTTATCTGTAAGTTAAGCTGTCTTTATAGTCCAAGTACAGTAGAAAATAAGTAAAACACTTACCTAGATCATTCAAATCAATGTACTTGATAAAGAGAGTAAAGAATACATCTTTTTGAAAATTGTCTTCCTTTGATTTTAAAAAGTATCAATACTTGATTCTATTATAAACTCATATTAGAAAATTGATCAAAACTTCGGTTTTAATATCAGAATCTATGAATGCCATCATTATTTATTTTTATTCAGTTTAGTGGCTGGTCATCAGTGTTAGTATCACCCATTGTCTAAAGACAAAATAAATACTTTTAAAAAACTAGTGGGACTAAGCTAGGTTGTTTAAGACAGCAACTAGATAACTGTGATTTGTTTCCTAAAAGTATTAATAAAAAAATCATTTAGAACCTTGCCTCTGATTCCCAATCTATCCCTCCTAAACATTAATAAAAATTGACATATGACTTTTCAATCACACTTTAGTGATAGAATGAGAGAAAGTGCTCATGATCTGACTTATGGTTAATTAACTAGAATAGGGAGCAATTGTCCCTCTCTATCTCATAATTATGCTTTATATCAAAGCCTACACCATCCTCAAGAAACAATTTTATCTTATTGGTTAAGAATTACTACCTGCATTGTTTCATTCACTGCTAGTAAGTAAGAGATACCCTTATCAGAAAAGGCTGTAACTTACCCACTAACAGACAGTTCTTTTCTTATTTCACTTGAAAGCACAGGTTCAGAATGAAAAAAGGATTTCAACCACCAGGTGGATTCTGCCATTTCAGGTAACCCTATCAAATAAAATCTATATTACTTCCTTATCAACAAATTTTTATATATATTTTTATTGATTTCAGACAGAGAGGAAAGGAGAGGGACAGAGAGAAAAATATCAATAAGAGAGTCATTGATGGGCTGCCTCCTGCACACCCCCTACTGGGGATTGAGCCCACAACCCGGGTGTATGCCCTTGGTGGGAATCGAACCCAGGACCCTTCAGTCCTCAGTCCAACGCTCTATCCATTGAGCCAAACTGGCTAGGACCTTATCAAAATTTTGAGAGATTACAAACAGAAAAATAATGAGAGTGATGCTGATAAGAAATAAACTAAATACCTTGAAGAGGTTTGTCTTCATCTATGAAATTAACAGAGTCAGAGCTAACTGAAGAAATACTGGCCTCTACAAAAGAAACAATAATGAATGAACAAATACATAACAAGCAAACAAATACATATTTATCTCTAAACTCTCAAGTAGTATGGTTTGAAATGATTTACTTCTAGCTCATACATTTATGAATTTAAAAATTAAGTAAATTATCAATCAATTACAAAGTCTTCCAGAATAATAAGGCTTATTACATTTTTTACTAATATGGTATATTCCTTTCAGTGGTGAACATTCTCTTTCCACAGATATAGATATAGAATTTAAAATATGTTATAAGTGCTATAAAATTTAAAATGTTAGCAAATATAAAATCAAGAATGAATGTTATTTTATTGCATTAGAAATATTACATGTGTATATATTTAAATAGCATACAAAGGCTATCATATTTAGAAATAAAGGAGTTATTTTAAAAAAAATAAACAGTATTTGTATTTGAAACATGTCTTTTAAAATATCAGAATATAAAAAATTAACTTCTGTAGCTGTAATAACAAAAAGTAAATGGGCATAGCTTAATCTTGTAAAAAGGATAAATCAATAGTTGTTTCCAACACAGAGTTAAAAGCATCTTGAAATAAGAGTGTTGTTTTTTTTTACATGTTGCTGGCATCTTTTCAATAAATGATAAGTTTTTTATTAAATATATTTTTATTGATTTCAGAGAGGAAGGGAGAATGAGAGAGAGAGAAAGAAATATCAGTGATGAGAGAGAATCATTGATTGGCTGCCTCCTGCACGCCCCCTGCTGGGGATCGAATTGAGCGCACAACCCAGGCATGTGCCCTTGACTGGAATCGAACCTGGGACCCCTCAGTCCACAGGCTGACGCTCTATCCACTGAGCCAAACCAGCCAGGGCGATACGTTGGTTTTAAAGTGATCATTTTATTTAATGAAATTTCTGAATTTAAGAAGCTACAATTTTCTATTGAGCTATAAATACAGATGGATAAAAATAAAACTGTCATGATAGATGCTAACCTATTATCCATAGCAGCAAAGTAGAAATTAGAAAATCCACGAAGCATAGTTATGATATCCCTTCTAAAAAATGAATATTTTATTTTTTAAAAATTACCGGTTTTTAAAGTATTGAAATTAAACATTATTTTGAAATATAAGCTGATCACTTATTTATGTATTAGTGGCCTTATCGATACCATATAACATAGTTAAAGAAATGAGCCTTCCTTGTTAATACTGATTTGGAGAAGTCTCCAATGAATTCTACTCCTTTGTCCTTCACTGTCACATCAGTCTTCCTTCACCTTAAAATGACCAGGATACAATACATGGGTTACTAATACCCTTCAGACATCACTTCATACCATATTCCCTAGGGGTCCTCGAGTGATGATATTACTTACTTCGATAATACTGATTTTTGGCCAGAAGGCAACCAACTGAAGGTACCGATGCCATTGCTATCCCCGTGAGCAAGCGCCAGAGACTATGAGCAACAGTCTGAGTAACAGAGACAGGGAAAGAGAGGTTGACATCAATAACATTCTTTTTTCTTTTTTCCACATGAATATTTTTTGCAAAACAACTTAAATTTAATACCATGTAATAAATATCTGATTAAAAAAATGGAAAGTTCACACAAAATTATAATCAAATATACTGTAATAAAAAAATGTAATCAATGCAGGTATTTATTTGGAAAAGTAAGAGAAAAGTTTGCATTCAACTACAAACAATGCCCACAACTAATTTTGTCTGAAATAAACCTAGCCTAAAGGTAAAAGAAAAAATATGAACACAGCCATGATCTAGTCACTTACCTATTTCTTTTATCCAATTTATTCTTTTAAAATAAATGTGATTCTAAAGTTTTCTCAGAAAATGCATAATTTAAAACAATTTGTAGTGATCCATGATAGACTGTGTTGCCCCAGAAGGCCCTGGGGCACTGTGCGGTGTCTGGGACCCCTGAGCACACCTTATATTTAGAAGGATGAAACCTGAGCTGTGGGTGAAGGGAGGCAAGGTGGGCACACAGCCAGCCAGAGGCAGCGTGGGGAAGCTCTCGTCCTATTTGCTCTTGATCATGTCAGTGTGCCAAGTGGGGCTGCCTGCAGCGTGGACAGACTTGGCTCAGACATTGTTTTGCACTTGCCCTCTGTCAGGCACAGCTATGATTGCTGCTTTCTATAGGGAAGGAGGTAGTAGCCACCTATCCTCTCAGCATTAGATACAATCACACATTCTGCTGGGCTCCATATGGGGCACAACAGACAGGCTGCAGGCCAGCTCGGGGATTGGGCATACCCACAAACACATGATGCAAGACAGAATCACAGGATCACAGAAAACAGTGAAGAACATGAAACACGGAAGTCTTTGTGGGAAGGGACATGTACTGTAGAACTTGACGGACCATGAGTTAAGAATTCTAGTGGGGATGATACAAGAAATGGCAATCATGGGTATAGGGAAATTGCATGATTTTATCACATATCAATATTACTTATTGATACAAAAGCTAATGTTCCAATTTTACTAATTTCCTTATATAAACTATTCTGCCATTTTATAGACTTAGTTTACCTGTGGATCAAATGTGGCTCCTCTTTACATTGAGGGGATTCTCAATTGCTCTTTCAGTTTATTTGGTGGCTCAGTTTAACCAAGCCTAAATTAATACTGGTAATGCAGCATTACTATAAAATTTCCCATGTCAGCTAGTTCAAATTTATTCAGAACATTTCTTTCAGTATGCCATTAAACATCTACTCCACCTGGTATGGCTCCTTTATGTTGCCAGTGTTATTTACTTCTGCCTTTTTTTTTCTTAATTAGTTTAGCAGGAGTTGTTTTTTTTCCGCCTATTAAATTCTTTTTAAGAACTAGTTAGTCCTTTCTTTTGTTTCTTGAGTGTATATTTCATTATTTTCTGTCTTGATTTTATTCTCCCTTTTACTTACTTTAGAGTTATTCTTACCGTTATTTATTTTAAAATAATCTGTAACTGCCATTATGACATCTCTTAAACATTTGTATTATTTAGGCATGCTTTTCTTTTTCAAAATGTATAAATGTTTGAACTATCTTTTCATTGATAATTAACAAATTAATTGTTCTGTGTTGTTAAGAGAGAATATTTAATATTGATTCATTCTTTGAAATAGTTTTTTTTTTAATGGATGTTAGTACACTTAAACCAGGGAAAAGCCCCTAGACTAAAAATCTACCTCTTTAAGAAAGAGACTGGTCACTCTAGTCTGGTAATTAATAGAGTTTATTAAGGAAAGCTTACATCTGAGGCATGTCTTGGGCAGCTACAAGATGAAATGGATCCCGACACCGCTTGGCAGGCACCAGAGAATTATACTGTGTAAAGGGTCATTGGGGTGGTAGTCATGGGTATGAGTACATGAATGCTATCAGGTATGGAAAGTACTTTACGTGCTTGCCCAGGTCAGGACAATAACCTGTTCCAGGAACCAGCACACAGCAGGAGGCAAAAGAGTGGTGTTGATTTCTGTCAGGATGATCATCAAGTATGATCAGACAGTCTCTAAAGGGGTTTGCAGAAAGCAACCTCCATTCTGTCCCGGGTTCAGCTCCTGGGACAGACAATGGTCACATCCTCCTCAATGGCTTTCTGTATATCTTCTATTATAATAAAAGCATAACATGCTCATTAGACCGGATGTCCTTCCAGACGTCCTTCCGAACGAAGCCAGGGCTGCGAGGGAAGCCTGGGTCCCAGGTGCCAGAGGGAAGCCGGTGCAGGCAGCCAGGGGAAGGAAGGCCTACTCTTCCACGAATTTTATGCATTGGGCCTCTAGTTTGAGAATAATAAATATTCTTTTATTTATTGCATACAATCATTATGTGGGCCCATTAGATCTTATTACTTAATTTTGTTAAATAATGTTACTGCTTAATCCACCAGTTTCTAGTGTGATTGTATCATCTAATTCTATTAATTTTTATCTTATATTTGAAGCTATGTGTGTACAAATAATGATTGTAATACCTTCTCTGTAGGTTTTTATCAGCATTAACACTTTTGCCCTAGATTCTAATAGATTTAATATTAATATTGGTGCACAAGTTTTTTTAAAAAGTACTGACATGGTATACAATTTTGCATCTCTTTATTTTTAATTCACTGTATTATTTCATTTTAGAAATTACTTATAAGTACCCTTATCTGTATTATTTTTCCTGATGTTACTTGCAAACACACACTTTTTAAAAACATGGGTTTAATCCATTAGCATTTACTGGAATTAATCATATATTTGAATTTTTTCTGTTATCTTATTTTGTGGTTTCAATGTAACCACATTTCTTTTTATGTAGACCTTTCTCCTCCCTTCTAGAAATAATATATTGTATTTTCTTCTTTTATTTTTTTTATTCTTTGGGTATTTTTATTTTTATTACCATAGATACTCAACTTTAAGTCTTTTAATAAGTCTGTTCTGCAGTTGTACTGGATTTGCCTAAGTATAGAATTTGCTTTATTAATCCTGTATTATACTCAGAATGTTCATTTCACCCACAGGCTCATCTTCCTTTTCACTTTGGAGAATTCTCAGTTATTTTTCCTTCAAATGTTGCTTTTACACAGTATTAATGAGATCTTCCTACACTAATTCATTACAAACACACATTTATATCAGTTGGTACAAACAGTGAATGTGCTTACACATTTGCAGATTAGTTGAAGAGGCTAATGTTTACCTGATTGTTTTCTGATTCATGTTTTTTATTCAACATCTAACTGTTAGAATCTGTTACAACCACATCTTTAGTGTCTTTTGTCCTAGAATTGAGTTATGCTAACATTTCTGTTTGATTATAACAAGAAGAGAGTGAATGCTCAGCTGTGATGACATACTTCAAGCCATCATGGGAGATGGAGCTATCATTCACGTGTCTCATCAGACAAGTTGCAAGATGCTCCCAAATGACACCTCATTACCTGTATGCACGTAGCTTCAAGAGAGAACATTAGACTGAAGGAGTGAGTACTAAGTAAAACCAACTACAACTTTTATGGCAGGTGATCTCTTTATCACATATAAGATACTGTTACTCTTTTTAATTTTATTGGCATTGAATGAAATAGTAAATACCTATCAGGTTGCTGTTTTGTAGAGCATGGAAATTCATGGCAAGAAAAATGGTTAAGGTTGAGATAATTCATTATGACCTTGTATTGTCATAGACAATTCGCCGATTGAGCAGTATAAGAAGATCAATTTCTTACTGTCTTGGAAGGCTTAAACTGTCTAGATCTAATTTCAATCTATAGTTATAAATACAATATGTCAGGTATTTGAAATATGTAGTAATATCCAGACCAGTAAAAGTATCATGTTAAGTATAGATTGGTCACCTGTAGTAACTAACACTGCAAATGAACATGTGTAGCAAGTGCTTTTAAAGGCATGGCAGGCTGCATTAAACCACTTTCATTTAATAATTGTTTTAGGTAAAATTACCAATGAATATCTCTGGGCCTCTACACCCAATATATAACATGGGAATAATAATATCTTACTTTATTTGGGATCCAATCCAGTCCCAAAATATATAATTCAATTGCTTGTTTTCTTTGGGTTACAAATAGTCTATTAGTCAATTGTCGTGGTTGTATACAACAGAAACCAATTCCCTCTAGAAGGAGAGAGAAGAGTGGACAGACAATTCATAAAATCAATAGGAAACACAACTCGATCTGAAAAGCAAAATCATCCAATGAGACCCCAAGAGCCTATGTGCAGTTGCCTGGTCAATCACTTGAGTGGTGATTGGCGGGAGGTGCAGTCAAACTGAGCTTCCCTGTGGCACAAGGAGCTGAAATTGCCACAACCTCACATTCCACCAGCTGGGCTACTGGCTTCCCGGGACAATTCCTCTAAAAAGTGGGCACCCCAAATATAGTCTGCCTTAAAAAAAACACACAGCTTCTTATTGATTTTAGAAAAAATGTGCTGCTTCTTGCACACCCCCTACTGGGGATTAAGCCTGTAATCCAAGCATGTGCCCTGACCAGGAATTGAACCAAAGACCACTGGGTGCATGGGGTGAGGCTCAACCAACTGAGCCACACCAGCCAGGGCTACGTTTGCCTTCTAACATGCAGTCTGTTTAGTTCTCCACTGAGAAAGTTGTATCTCCCTATAAGAAGGGAGAATCATAAGAATGAAGTATTACAGCACATTTGCCAGAAAAGCCTGCCCTGTGTGCCTCCTGGGGGAATATGGGAATCTGGGGTTTAGAGTGCCTTCTCTTGTTGAACTCTGGCTCATAAGCTTTCCCAATAAATCCTGTGTTTCAACAGATACTATGAAGTACTATGCATGCCGTCCTGAAAGCTGCTGCGCTTCTGGGGAGCTACCCAAAAGGAACCAGAGTTAGAATACGGCAGGAACCAAGTACACTCGAGCAGGTAGGCACCTACTCAGGACACACCCAGAGAGAATATGAGGAAGATGCTGCTGTCAGCTATGACCAATCCTCCAGTCCAAAGCTCCCAGTGGAACCAATCTCATTGGCTAACCCTCGGTCAGCTTATATGTAGCTACATAGTTAGAGGGCACATCCTTGTAGCAACTATTGCTAATTGTTCTTCAGGATCAATTCTTTCCTTTTCTTTTGAATTCGGTGAGCATAGTCCATTCAACCAGAGACTACATGTCTCAGCCTCCCTTCTAGCTAGGAATTGGTGAGGGCCAGTGAAATGTGTGAAATATGTGGTTCATCTTTAAGGTCATGAATATTTAAAGACCAATCCACTTGCCTGAACTTTCTGCCAGAGGTAAGTGGTCAAAGCTCATGGGTGGGACAGCTGTTCTTACATAAGAATGAAATAAAGTTCTCTTTTGAGACATTGTGTTCTAGTCTGGTTACACAGCCTAGCCTGCACTCTGACCATGAAAATCACTCTGACTTCCATAACGAGAGGTGCA